AAAGAAAAAAAAAAAAAAAAAAAAAAAAAAGAAAATCTCCTATGTGCCAGATGCTAGCTAAGCTTTCAAAATAATTAACTTTGACTCATAAGTTCAATACGTCAGGCTGGGGGACCATAGTCTTAGCAGGATTCAGTTGACTCTACAGTCCACATCTTAGTTTCTATTCTTTAAGTAGCATTACCTTAACCCAAGAGTTAAAGTCCCTTGACACTACATTGCCTTAATACTCAGGATTCTGGTTACATAGGCCCAGGGGAAGGGGTCAAAAAATTCTCCGCTGAGCAGCCCAGGGTTTGTTTGCAGAGTTGCACCAAGCTCTCAGGACGGAGCGGAAAGAAGGAAATTTCCAGCTTCTTCGAGGCAGTCCTGGCCATGCAGGAAAGCAGCCTTGCAGATAAGTATTCACATGTACCCGCCTGTGGCCCATCAGCCTGCCCTCAGCCATGGCTCCTTGGCTTGGCAGTCGAGTGGGAACCTCAGCACTGTTCCCCGTGGGACACATTCTCCCTAGTGCAAGGCTCCAGGTGTGTCTCTAGCTTTGGCCAGGTGCTGACATCAAGCTCTGGCAGTATGTTGAGAGGATGGGTCCCTGACTGCCTGGCTCCAATCTGCAGGCTGATGAAGACGGCATAGCTGACCAAAAACAAACCTGGGTTAGGATTCACGGGCGTTCTCTGGCCTTCTCCAGACTGGTAGCACAGGCTGGTCTCAGAAGAGCCCCAGCTCACCCTCTTCTGGGTCCCTAGTCTCCTCGAGTACACAGGGTATCAGGAAAGGTATGGAGAGGGTGAGGCTGGGCAGATGGGTCCCTCCTGTTTTCCACCTATTGTGCACTGAAAGTATCTCAGGACGCAGAGGTAGGGACAGACACAGACTTCGTAGCAGGGCTGGGACAGAACTGCAGACTCCTGACTCTGTCCGCTGTTCTTGCGTAGCACTCCCCAAGCTGCCTAGTTTGGCCTGCTTCTTCTGGGTCACTCTGCTGTTGGGGAGCAGGGAGGTTGCTGGGGCTACCAGGCCTCCATATCTCTGGGCCGGTGGCGGGGCTGGGTGTGGTTCTCTCCTGCGGCCTGGGTGGCTCTTCTGTCTTCCAGGATGGCCCTATCTGGAGGCTCTGCAGAAGGAGCTGGGCGTCGGGCCTGGGCCACCAAGGTGTTGGCTGGATGCTGTGGGTAAGCTCGGGCAGGGCGGGGTGGGGGCTGCTGAGCTTCCTCTCATGGGGGCAGGTTGTCTTTCTTCCCGTGTTCCCCACCCTGGCCTGGGCCTGGCCAGAGCCTTCTGCTCACGAGAAGGCCCAGGATCCAGAGGCCGGAAGGCTGCTCTGTTTGGTCATGGCGTGGATGGGAATGAATCCGGACCGTGGTGGGTGGCCTCTCGGTGGAGGTTTCAGCAGGGTCCTTCATCCCACAGACGTAGACCAGGCATCTTCCTTACAGTGGACCCTGGGACCAGAGGTGAACATCAGACATGCGGTCCGCTTCTCTTGGCTCTTCATGTAAGAACCCTCTTCCTCACAGTTCGGCGAGGAGGTGAGCTCCCCGTCCCGGGAAGTACATGAGTTTGTGTTGGGGCTGGGTGTTAGAGAGAGGTCCTTTTGGTGAGAATGTTGGAAAGAGACATCAAGTCACCCGGGAACTCTGAAGGTCCCTTCCTCTCACCGAACCCTTCGCTGCCTCCACCCATGACCTTGGGGCTTGCTTTGGGCCGCCCTGAGCCACCCCTGCCTGGTGGGAAGTTCTCAGCTTTCATCACCTTCCCTGGGCGCCTGAGTTTCTTCTAAAAGATTTTTCTGTGCAAAGCCCTGGCTTCTGCCCTGTACGGAGCACAGGAGACCGGCTGCGGGTCTCTGCTGCACTTGTACAGCAGACAGGGGCTGGGTGGGGGCTGCAGGGAGCTGGGACAGAGGCCTGGGCCTCATTGTCCGTGCTGTCTCTCCAGGTCACTGCCCCGCACATCTCCAGGACTCCAGACTTGCTGCGCTCTGGGGAGCTGGGTGAATAGATTCTGGCTGCAGGAACCCAGGAGCAGCCTTCAGTGGCCCCACCCCTGAGGACATCTCCCTTCGCAGCCCTTGTGGGAAAAGTCTTCTGAGAAGAGCCGCTCTCGGCAGATGGTCAGCTGAGCACCGGATCCCGGGCCGGCACGAGCTCCAGGAGTGTGGAGAGGCCACAGCTCTCTCTCCACCCGCTCCCCTTGCTGGGCCCAAGTGTCTGAGGCTGGAGGCTGCTTCCTGACCTCATGCGGGCTGCGCGCCTCCTCTGGCTCCCCTGTGACCACAGCTCTGCCTGGGCGAGCGTTTTCCTGAGTGCACCCTCCCAGGGCCAGGTCTCAACAGGGATGAGGTGGGGAGGCACTGCTTGTGTGGGGTAGACTTGGCTTCTTGGGGGAACCCAGTGGAGTCTTCTGTTGTCATTTGGGGAGGCTTCTTGGGTGAGAGCTCTCCAGGTCTCTCTCTCCCGATGGCTCCCGAGGGGGTGGTCAGGGCTGGGGAGGAGCTAAGGCCTCCCCCACTGGGGTCTAGCAGGCAAGCGGAGGGGCATAGGGCAGGGCATTGTCTTGAAAAGGGGTAGAGGTGAGGATGCTGGGGTCAGGGAGGCTGACTGGAAACAGACAGCCTTGGTCTCACTCCTGTAGTCCAAAGAGAATCCGCTCCTCTCAAAGCTGGAAGGCCCACCTGAGCCCAGGCTTAGGGCAAGTGCTCAGCAGTTAGCCCCCTGGTCCGCATGTATGTGCCCAGATCCTGTCTTTGGGAGCAGAGGCCAGCAGGACAGGCCTGTGCACAGCCTCCCATGGGCCGTTTCCCTGTGCCCTCCCCCCGTTCCACCCACCCGCAGAGGGGACAGTCTTGCTGCGTGCAGAAGACTAGCTCGCGGCTTTCCTAAGACCAGTTTAAAAGCCGGAAGTCCTTTTCCTGGGGAGGGGAGAGTGACGGTTGTTCATCAGCTCAGGCTACTGTAACAATACTTAGGACAGACCCCAGGGGTTCGGTGCATTTCTCAGGCTTCTGGAGCCCAGAAAGTCCAAGACCCAGGTGTGGGGGTTGGCTTCAGGGGAGGCCCGTACAGGTGGCACCTTCTACCGTGTCCTTACCCGGCCTTTTCTCCGTGGCGTCTTGGTGGCTTTGTATAGTAGGACACCAGTCCTGCGGTACCAGGGACCCGTGCTCATGACCTCATTTTACTTCAGTCACATCCTGAAAGGTCCTGGGTCGGCATACAGCCCCTGGGTGGGTTGCAGATCCAGCCTGTGCTCTTGGGGGACCACAGTTCAGCCACCACAAGCATGGCAAGCTGCTGCCACGTCCCTCCAGGACCCCAGCCTGCAGGGAAAGGAGCAGCAAGTGAATGGAAAACAGAGGTGCGGCCAGGGTGGGTCGAGGTGCCTCCTGGGCCCGCGGAACTGCTGGGCCCTGCACAGAGCCCAGTCCACAGAGAGCCGCACTTGAAGCCAGATCGGGTCTCGGTGCGCCCTCTGCTGTGCAGCTCTGGGCAACTCCCCCGGCCTCCAAGAACCTTGACACCCACTGAAATAGGCGCCAGCCCGTGTTCCTGTGAGCAGGTGCAGGGGCAGCTACAGAGATAATGTGCCTGGCACAGCGCTGGGCGCTTAGTCGGTGCTCAGTAATCACTCCCACCTAGCTGGAGTTTAGATTTAACTCTGACTTGGCACCTACTGAGCCCGAGGTGTCTCCGACGAGGCCTTCCCCTAGCTGCTGTCTTAACGACCCTTTCTAATGAGCTTGGGGAAGAGGTCAGTTCTACTCCTCGGAATTGAGCACCTACTTTGAGCTCACTCATGGACCGGACCCTTGGGGAAAATAAGTGAAGATGCAGCCCTGGTTCAAATCTTCAGTGCTATCTAGCTACAGCAGATGGGAGGAAGCCCGCTCGCATGGAGAATGGGGGTGACACCTACAGCAGTCGGAGAGGCTCTCGAGCAAAGCTGAGCCAACAAGGGCCTTGGAGGGCGACAAAGCTGTGGCTTAGCCCCGAGCTTCTAGGGAGAAACCAGAGCAAGATGTTCAAAGTAAGGTCAGGCAGTGCAGGACTTATCAGAGCCTTTGAAATGCTCATGGGGATTTCAAATACTCAGGGACAGAATACAGGGTGATGTGTTTCTTGGCCTTTCTGGCCACAGGATCCTTTTCTCACAGAGCATCACAGAACCGGGGACCATGCAAGGCTGGGGTTTCTGAAGGGAACTTTTGTTGGTGATAGGAGATGTTGTAACTAGGGCACACCCAGGTGTTGCGTAGCATTGGCTGGAAAGGAAACGTGGGGAGCCGGAATTCAGGTCCCAGGCCAGGCAGGCTCAATGCAGTTTGTGGGAAGGAGGGGTGGGCACGCTAGTCGTGATGGGTGTCATGTCTATCAGGCATGGGGGCTCTGGGGATCACACCTGCGTGCGCGTGTGTGTGTGTGTGTGTGTGCACGTGTGCCTGAGTAACAGAACCCAGCCCTGTGGGATGGGCCTGACCAGAACCAGGCAGGGTGTTTCCACCCAGGACAAGCAGTGTCCCAGCATCTCCAGGGGAACTGTGGTGTTTGTGGGGGAGGTAGGGCTCTGAGGCCCACACCAAGATTAGAAGTAGAAGGCAGGGTCCAAGCAGCCAGGCTCAGTTCTGGCAGGACTGAGGGCTGCAGAGGTGGATCCCTGCCCTGGTCAGGCCCCGCACTTGGGGTGTGGGCAGAACTGGTGGACAGGAGGTTTCCGGAGCCACAGCTCAGGGGTGGGCAGTGTGTGTTAACAGTGTGTGTTAACAGTGGTGTTTACAGTGGTGTTTACAGTGCATGGTGTGATTAACCTACTAACCCAGGGCTCGGCTGGGACGCTGTGGCGTGTGGCGAGGTGCCTGGCCTTCTGCCAACCAACTAACCCACTAACCAGGCCCGCGCATGCCCTACTAACCCCTGCAGCCAGACCCTACTAACTGCAGCTCATGGGCCTTCGTAGCAGCTGGGCCGTGGGGGCAGACGAGGCTCCGGAGGGCCCGGCCCGGCTGGGGTCTCTGTGCAGATGCTCACTGCAGACAGGGCATGTGCGTGACCTAGCAGCTTGGCCACTTCAGTGGGGGACTTCAGCAAGTCACCTCACTTTTCTGAGCCCCTGTCCTAGGTGGGCACGGAGAGCACCGATTCTGACCTCACTGGCTGCAGTGAGAATTCTCTCCCTTATGAATGTCTTGGAGGACAATTAAGAAAGAGGAGGGCTGGGGTTGGGGCAGAAACTTGTCTGGCAGCAGCTGCAACCTGGCCCTGGTCTCCCTGGGTGTTCTGCACACAGATCCTTGCGCCTGGGGCCAGACACTTGCTTCGAACCCCTGTGTCTGCCCACGTTCTTCCTCCCTGTCAGCTTTCTTTTCCGTAGGCAGCTCTCCTGTCCGATTACTAACTTGTCTAACCTGGGGGCACCTCACCTGTGCCCTGCCAGCCCTTAACAAACTAACGGACCTGTGTGCGTTATTTCTTCTCTCCTAGCGACTCCTGTGTGTGTCCGCCAAGGCGCCCCCACCGCTGGTGCTGTGCTGACTTACTAACCCAGCCCTACTAACCCTGTTTTCTCTTCTTACTAACCCCAGCCCTGCCGAGCTCTGGGTCCCTCTGGGGGCTGGTCCCTCTCCTTCTGGCAAGCAGAGGTCCCCGGGCTGGCCCTGCAGACCGACACCCCAGGTTGGCTGCTTGTGAGATCAGAGACCACTGGGCCAGGCCTAAGGCAGGGACGGCCTTATTAACAACACCCAGAGGAGGAGAAGGTGGCCCTGCGGATATGGGAGGCTGGACTCTGAGCATGACCTCTCTCCTCTGTGCAAAAGGCTGGTTGCCACTGGGAGTGGGCAGGGCCAGGGCATCCTCTGGGGTGTGAGTGTGGAGGCCTGTGGGTCTACAGTGTGCAGTTCTGGGCTTTTCCCAGCCAGAAGAACAGAAAAAAGGGGCTTGTGCTTCCTTCCCTGGAAATGTTCTTCATTGGAAAGGGACAGAGACAGTAGCCATTCTGGAGAGGAAGTCAAACAGGGCGTGTCCCAAAATGGAACTCGGTCGAGGGTCCCTGCCCATACCGGAAGTCACTCTTCGGAGCCTTTCCCAAGTAGGAAGTCAATAAAGGGGTCTTTCCTACACTGAAAAATTGAGGCATTTAGTACATAAGAAATCAGCTACAGAGGTATTCTCCATACTTGAAGCTGACAAAAGGGGCATTTTGACACTGGAAGTCACTAGAAAGGATGGCCAATAATCAGTGAGGAGGCCCTTTCCCATACAGGAAGTTGCCTAGGGAGGGGTTCTTCTATGCCAAAAGATGGAACAGGCCCGAAACTCACACCAGAAGTAGGTGGGGGGGGTTAGAACTTGTCACATCCAGAAGGTAGAGGGCGTCTGTAGCTGTGTGGCAAAGGCAGTGAGGAAAACACCTGTACAAGAGCTGGGAGGTTGGCAGGGGGAGGAAGTGGGGAGCAGGACATGAACTCCAGGGGCCCACAGGCTGGCCAGGAAGTCAGCCTCACTCCCTACCCTGTCCACGCCCCTGCCCGGCCAGCCTCCCCCAGAGCCCGCCAGTCGCTAAGCCGGGGCCACACCTGGGGGTGATTTCATGCCTCACCTCCAGTAGGCACCTTGGCCTCTCTGGGCTAATCTCTAGCTACCTCGAACTAACTCTTGCTCTCACCCAGCTAATCCCTGCTTCACCCTGGCTGCCCCAGGGGCTGACCACTAACAGCCAACCCCACCCATCTGGGGGCTCCAGGCTCCCCGCCTGGCTTTGGCCTTGGTTCTTAATTAACCTCTCCTTCCCCTTGACTAACTCCTGCCGTCCTGGTCTGTTCCTTTCAGCAGAAACTAATGGCTTGTGGATTTCTTTCTGACTAACAACAGGTGTAAGTGTCCTTGTTAGTATCACTATTAACAGCTTGGATGGCAGCGTGGCCGGGAGGGTTTGGATCCTGAGCAACAGGGAGAGGTGTAGCTAGTGAGGTCAGACTTGGCTCCTCTTGGTCAGAGCAGTCAGATGCCAGCAGTGGCCACAGGTCTTAACAGGAGGTGCCAGGGCTGGGGTGTGGCCCGGGCCTGATGGAGGCTGATACTGGTGAGGTGGTGTCTGGCCTAGAGTCAGACTTCCAGAGTTTTGAACAATGGTATAGCCCCTTATTTTCATTTGCGTTGTCTCCCTTAAACAGTAATCTCATAGTCCACATGAGCCGATGTAATTTATGAATCTTGACATGCCTGTCGGGTGTGTGCAGACTATGCATAGAGTCATCAGCCATCAGCCCAGGGCCCAGAGTCCCCGCTATGGGTAGGTCAGAGTTTTGGTAACCCCGGAGCAGACAGAAACACTCAGATCTGCCAGCCCTTTGCATCTTAGTGTCATCTAAATTGGCTTCCTCTAACTTCCAACTCTCCGAATGGAAGTCTTTCTTGTAACCTAGTGGCACTGAGGGTCTCTTTACTGCTGGAGGAAGCCTTGCTGGTAGCAGAGAGGAGGAGCCGTATGGCATGGCGGCAGGGGTGCCCGGGTGGGTTAAGAGGTGGCACAGGCAGAGGGGAATGGGAAGGGTGATTTGTTTTGCTCTCCAGCTTGGTAGTCAGACTATGGGAGAACAGTCAGGGTCTGGAGGACCAGATTACTCAGCAGTTTCAGTGGCTGGCTGGGAGGCCTCATGGACAGTATTTGGGTCAGGGAGAGCTGTGAGAGCCCTCTCTGCCACCGCCAGGGTCTCAGAACTAACCCTTAGAGCTGGCAGTGCGATCTGATCCAGACAGTGGTCCAGACTCCTGAGCTACAGAGGAAAAAAAAAAAAAAAAAAAAAAAAGGGGGGGGGG